GAACAGCACAGATAAACACCTTTCAAAAAGTCAGATCTGAAGTCCATAGCAGGGAAGTGCTTGGGGGAGGAGAGACACGTGCATTGTATATCAGGAATAACAAAAGAGAACAAACCAAAAAACATAGAAGGGAGAGCACAAAAAAATGGTAAAAGACAAATGAATTACCGTGCTTTCTGGACTATATGCCTACACTTTGAATCATGCGACTTAAATGAAGGTACAGCTTTCTGTGGATTTTTCCTAAAAGCCAGAGGGTGGAAGTCAAAGCTGGAAATCAAAGAGGGAGCTAATTTTCATTATCACATCAAATGATGGCAGCAGGCACGACAGAAAACAAATGTCCAGACTTCACACATTTTCACATTTATTTGTTGTATTAAAACTGTCGATCCAATAAAGAAATTGTGCACAACTCCTGCAGAGCTGAAATAAAGAGCTGATGAAGCCCTGTCTTTCATCAGAAACTCTTAGCCAAGAGGCTAAAGGAAGCTAGTATTCTTATTTTTCCCTATTTTATGGGTGATATGTACCCAATACAGGTTTAATGGGGGACTGTTCAGTAGATATCAGTGGCTTATTTATGTATGTTTCTAGTTTTTTAACAAAAAGTTTAATTGGTGTGGCTTATAATGAAGTGCGCTCTATAGTCTGGAAAATATGGTAATGGTTATACAGTAAGACCCCAATAGCAATAATGAATTCCATAATATCATTAAATTAAATTAACCAACACAACATTAATGGCAATAATACATCTTAAAATATCATGACACAAACACAAAGAAAGGTTAAATCAAAAACATAAATAAATGATGAAGATACAGAAAATATGATCATAGGTTAAAATGGCCCAAAGTCCAGACCTAAATCTATTCAAGAATCTCTGTTAAGACTCTGCGAGTATGTTTGAACTATTTTTTAAAGAGAAATGGGCAAAAAATTCTAGCCTTCATGCTTACCGAAAAAGATATCTGTAATAACAGCAGAAAAATACATAGTATTGCCTTAAAGATGTGCTGCATTCATAATATACTGCTCAGATATTTCCACCCAATCACATACTACTACAACGGCATACCACCCCAATGAAAGAAATAATAATGTGCTGTTTTTACATAGCAAACTTTACAACATTCCAAGCTGTATTGATACTTTGGCACGGTGCTGTGACACCTGGGGAAATAAAAAAAGGACCATTCAATGAACAAAGGATATGATTTTGGAATGAGAACTTTGAAAATTGTTTGAATCTTGTAGCTGTGAATCATGAAGCTCCAACTACAAAGTCATTTTGTGTGGTTGTGGCTGGAAAAGCAGGGAAGTGTGAAGAGCAAATTCGAATGGTCATCCTACAACTTAGGGAGAAGCTGGAGCAAATAAAGGAAAGAGCTCTCAGGGAGGAAGTCGAGCAGCACATATGGAAATAGAGGAACCCAATGCAGGATGTGCTGAACTCTTAAGAGCTTACAGACACATTCGGTGAATCCAGTGAACTGGAAGCTGGATGTTGTGAATCCTTTTATACTTTTGCAAAAAAATAAAAAAAATCCCAGCATTTTGAAATGTCAGTGTCTAAATAAGCCACTCTAATCTTTGTGATGCAAAACAATGCACCTAAAACACAGAGCAATATGTAAAGCATAATTGATAATACATATGATCATAAATTCTAAAAATATGGAAATTCATTTTCTAACTTGGCTGGGACTAAAATGAATTTAAAGACATAATTACAAAATTGCTCTACTGATCAAAGTTACTGATTATAGAAATCTGAAAAAGGCTCCTTTGAGTGTGAATTTGGTGCAGTAATAAATCCATTGGTCCTTGCTATCATTCAATTCTATCCTTCACTGGTCCACAGCCAGTCGAGGAACTTGCAAAAGCTGCTTATAGAGGAGCTGAAAGACTTCCTTCTTCAACTGGTTTAATGAAGCAGGAGAACCTCAGCAGTACACTTTGTAGAGTACGATACAGGAGAAATATTTAAGACACAATACCAACTGTTTCCAGATCAAGCTTAGTTCAAATGAGACGAAGAGTAGAAAGAGAAACAGACAGAATAAACTAAAAATGAGAAAGGGGTGGAAAATAAAATAAGGAAAACGCACATGACAGAGACAGACATGGAATGAGAAGAAGCTCTGAGGACAAAGAACAAGACGAGTGGGTAGGAAAGGGAATATGAGTACTAAGAGCAAGTAAGGCAGGACAAGACAGACTTAATGGAGATAAATGTTGAGAGGAGCTGTGCAAAAGAAAATGGATAGAGGTGGAACGGACAGTGAGGGAACGGAAGAAAAAGAGCCCAGAATCTGACTTAGAAGAGAAGGAGCCAACAGAACACAGCAGCTAAAGGTATTCTTTTACTAGCTCAAATTAAAAGTGATGAAAATATAATTGTGTTTCTAACATGGCATGAATGACCATACACATATATAATCCCAAACTACCGCAACACACACAATGACACATTGAGTTGCAGGAAGTCCAGTGCATAAGGTAAAGAAGAGAAGATCATAAAAAAGGGCTTTTTATAGTGTTGGGCAAACCTTTAATTGCGATTTTAGTATAATAGAATGACAAAAAGCAGTTTTTATTGTGAATTAAAGAAAAATATGACAGGATTTTTAAGTTATTCAGAATAAAAAATCAGAAAAACGTAATGTCTATATATGTATTTTACTACCTAATACCTTTTAATGAGAGCAAACAAACCAAATATGCATAACACTTTCAATAATTATAAAAGGGGTTTGCTGTGATGAAAAGGGTACAAATATTTTTTTTAAATTAAAAGTTAAAATTAAAAAACACACTTGACACTCATCATACAAAGTAAAACAGGCCTGTTGTCCAGACCTTGTTAAGAGTGTATGTCAGGGGCGTAGGTTTGATTTTAACTTTGATAGGGATACTATTGGTCTGATGTCATTGGTCGTATGCAAAAATATGCACACTCGTTTTTTTATGCTTGATGGGAAAATCAGGGTTTATTTCATTTAAAGAGAAAAGCAGCAATTCTTGCTACATTTATACAAATTTTATAAGCACTACAAACACTAGATGCTGTTTATCAATGAATGAAACTTAACTGGCTCTGATGAATGAGGAATTAGGACTTTTTTCCTCTTTGAAAAGGTTTGCATTTGAAATTACCAGCGACTAAGACAGTAGGTAAATCTGTGCCTATTTAACAGAATGTAGTTTAAATATGTCTGTTATATGTGGATTTATACTTTTTTAATTTTGAAGATATAGAATTGTGCAGAGGTAAATAGAGGTAAAACCCACTCTTTTAAATGTTCTTTTTGTATCATGAAACAAAGCGAAATAAAAGATTCAAGGGACACCAAATAAATGCATTGTATTTACATGTGCCCTGGAACTAGAAGAGGAACTGACACTGAGCACTTAATATATTAACCTCCCTCTACAAGTTGTAAATCTAGGGTGTAGTTACTCTATTTAACCCATTTCATGTATTTTATTTAGGGCTGAAACAATTCATCTTATTAATCAATTATTGAAATAATGTCAAAAAATGTAGTAATCAATTAATTGTTAACTGGAGTATAGAGACTCTAAATAATATCTTTAGCTCACAGAGTGACCCACTTAGAGCAGAAATTATACCGAAATTGTAAAAAAAAGAAAGAAAATTTTTTAATTTTAGACAAAACATGTTTTAATCTGTCAATATTCTCCATCCATAATTCCTCTACTGCTGCAACAATGCTGTTTTGTAAATTATAAACATGTTATTCACATGTAATTGTTGGTAGGGACAAGTAGGTCGGTCCAAAATTTTGGTAGGGACATGTCCCTATAGTCCCTATGCAAACCTACGCCCATGCCAAAATCACAGGATTAATACTTAAACCTAATATCACAAAATTAATGCCCAAATTTAATATCACAAAATGAATACCTAAACTTAAAGAAGGCTATGGTGGAATACGTGTAGCGCCTCCTTGAACAATAATAAATGATGAGTCACAAGTTTTTTTGTAATACATCTGAAAAAGATAAGCTTTCTTCTATCTGACCAGATGTTGGTATGGAAAAGCAGTAGTCAAGAAAACCACAGTATGTATTTTTATCAAGTAAAAGTAAAATTGATCTATTTAGAATAATAGGATTGGAGTAAAACAGTAATTAAAATACAACTCAAGCACTAAGTGATGATAACATTTGATTAAATGTTAAAAAAATTATTATATTAGACAGATAAAATATACGTTTCTGTTCAAAATCTGGTATTTTAAAAGAATAAAGTAATAAAACAAAGCATTTTTTTATTCAACAAACACTGCGACTGATACTTCCAGCAGTAACATTACCTTTTGTGACAACTGCTAATTGACCTGACCTCCTCAGCAGATAGAAATTAACATTACAGTTTGTATAGAAACAGCCATCTTTATTTTTTCATAAACTAAAAACTATCTCTCTGGTGTATTTTTGTTTAAAATATATATATTATATATGTATAGCTTGTTCTACATTCACAGAGAGTATTCACTATGGGTCCAGATATTAAAATATAATCTGTTTCTCTGACAAACCTAAAAGTAGCAGTTCTTTGGAAAGCCCTGTATGTGTTAAATACACATAGAAGCCATACAAGTGGCTTTAGGTGAATCTGCCTATATTTGGCAAGGTTGCTTAAGAGACCCTTTAAATAATAAATCAGTAATAGTGTACCACTTATGCAATGATCTTCTTTATTAACTGAAATACAGTCTTTGCGTATTTTATATTTCTACTTTTATTTATTATTTTTTTTTCATAAAATGGGCCATAGCCTTGGACACCACTTCTTGTTTTTAATTGTGTTTACATTTAAACACATGTTTAAGGCTTCCATGTTTTACTGATAAGCTCCTTTTTTTCCCAGCAGTTTGTTTTCTTTTGAACCGAGGCCTGGTGTATCTAAAACTGATCTTATTTAACTACTAATTTGGCTTTTTGTCAAGACAACAACAACAGCAAAAATGAGGTAAGTAACATGCTACTGTTACTTTTTACAGATTGAAACTTTTAAATGTATTTTTTCTAATGGTAAAGTCTTCATGCATCTTCTGCTGTTTTTTTTGTTTTTTAATTTGCAGAAAAAGTCATGCAAACCGGGATGAACTCTACTTAACCCTACAGGGAGTTGATATTTCTAAGGTAACAATTATCTGTTCAGACAGACTGCATAATTGTGGGTGTTTTAAATGATAATATGAATTGAAATTAGGGCTGCAACAACGAATCGATAAAATCGATAAAAATCGACTTTTAAAAGCGTTGGCAACGAATTTAATCATCGATTAGTTGTGTCGCGCGATTAATGCGTCATCCGCCGCCTCCGTCATCCGGGGGAAGAAAAAAAAATATGGCAGAGCGAATCGGCGCCGCAGTTGCAGTGTTGCCAACTCAGCGACTTTTCAGATACCTCCAGCGACTATTTTTCAAAAAAGCGACTAGCGACAAATCTGGCGACTTTTTACGGTGTCACTGGCGGCTTTTGCATGCCGTGGGGCGCCTCCCCCATCCCAACCCCTTTCTCCCTCTCCCACAGAAATCCCTCTCAGTGCTGCAGTCAGAGCCGCAGGATTTTAATGAGGAGTTTACCCTCAGCGTCCAGACTGCAAATGAAGCGTGCATGCGCCGGGATTGACGGCGCAAATTGATCACAATAATTAAAATAGCCTGCGCTTTGTAAAGTGAAAAAAGTCGTAACATGCAACTTTTGTAAAAACAAATGAACATGGCACGGAAGCACCACTGTTATGACGCAGCTCCTGAAAAGAAAACACGTTGGAGCCTTCAATGGCAGTGAAGAGAGCTGATCAGCAGGATGAGTAACCATGTTTGTTTCGTTTTAAAGTGGGGAAACGTAACGTTAGTTTCTCAGGTAGCTCATCTGATGCTTTCCTTACCGTGTTAGTAGGTTACAGACAGTGATAAGGTTGGCTACTTATTTTACTTTTAATTTCATTTGAATTAGCTTAAGCAGTGTTTATATTTACTTTATAAATAAATTAACTTGCAAATTATGAGGGCAAGGCTTTTAAAGTTTAAATCTTCTGGCAAAGATAAAGAAGATCCTGCAATTTATGGAAGTAAAGCAGAATAAAATCCAGCAAGATCAGTAATATGTCAATTAATTATATGCCACATTCCTATTTAAATATCTGTCTTTGGAGGATGTGTTTTTTAGCACCCCTAGTTCTCTCATTTTTATTCCAAATACAATTTATAATTTGAATCACAGGGCTATTTTTATCTCTATGGTTAAGTATTTTCTCAAGCAGCAACTTTAACTGCTGATGTACAGCTACATTTCTCATGTAAGTTTGCGTAGTTTTAACACAAACATTTATTTTTCAGATTGCACCAGTACAGTTAATGAGCAACCTGTACTTGTGTGCTTGTTTGTTCTGTCTAAAATGTTTATTTTGGAATAAAGAGGTTAATATAAAAAATATTTTTTGTCCGATTCATCGATTAATCGAAAAAATAATCGGCCGATTCATCGATTTTTAAAATAATCGTTAGTTGCAGCCCTAATTGAAATGCTGTCATTCCACTGAACTATTGGGGAATTATAACACTTCTTGCATCTGTTCTTTATTTTGTTTGAGTTTTTCTGATTTCAGATTGATTTTCTTTCCTGTTGCAGGTTAATGGTGCCTATAGCAACACCATGGGGCACATGGAGATTAGCTACTGGCAGGCCCTTATTAAAGAGAGCATCCATCTGGTGGACAGTGAAATTGCCTATGTGGAGCAGGTACCTGTGTTTGCAGTGAAACCATCAGAACACAAAGTGAACTCTCTTGTGAGGTTGTCGATTTTGCCCTCAGATGAAAGAGATGATAGAGCACTGCATCCATGAGAGGACGGTGTACAGCCAGCACATGGGTCACTGTGTGGCTCTCTACTTGGGCTCAGCCAGCCTGAACCACGACCAGGTCTTTGTCCAGCTGAAGAAAGAGGAGAGTCTGGCATTCAAAAACAGGGAGGTGATGAAGAAGCAGGCTGTTGTCATCCTCAACAAACTAAGGTCAGATATTTGGAGATGAAAGTTGAATTAATTGGACTGACACAAAAAGAAAATAAACAATGACTTCTGTCTCCCTGCTGAAGCTCTCTGAGGACAATCCGCTATAGGCTAAAAAAAGATTTTCAAGACAAGCTCGAAGCCTTAAAAGTCACCACCAGATGCATCACATTTGAGATGACAACCCAATGCTCTGGCTTGACTGCTGGCCCACTCAAACCAACCCATGTGAGCTATGAGCAGTGGCTGTCTCGGTGTCAACACATGAAGATGATGGCTGATAAACTTGTGAGGGACTCAACAAATTGCAGAGAAAAGCTGCAGTTACTCCTGCTCAATGTAAGACTGCACTAGATCTGTAGTTGTTGATAAGAGCACCACATTACTGCCAGGAAGCTTCCTTAAAAAGTCTTGCTTTTGAAGTTGGAAAAAAAGCTTCTGCAGTTCTGGCTAAACCTATTTTAGTGCTGGATATCCAAAAAGTATGTTTTCTCCCTGCTTTTTTTCCTTTCATAGTCATATCTCACTGCATGAAAAGTGAGATTTTCGTCCCCGTAAACTCCCGCAGATCTCCCTGATTTTCGTCAGTTTCCGACAATTTGCAACCCGCGCTTGTCCGCATTTGTCGTGCCACAAATTGTCGGAAACGGACTCTGACGTATGTGGAGAGCGATCAGCTGTACGTTTGCTGCATATGAATGCAGCAAACTCGCGCGGCTGGCCAGGTCTGGCTTGAATAACCTACTCAGTATTGGCTGAAACCAATATTCTCAAACAAGTGAAATCGCTCGTGATTGGCAGCAAAACCACACGTGGCCACGCCAGGCTTTAATTTTCTTACTGAGTATTGGACGGAACCACTTCTTTTTAAACAAGTAAAGTCGCTTGTGATTGGTTGGCATATACAGGTGCTGGTCATAAAATTAGAATATCATGAAAAAGTAGATTGATTTCAGTAATTCCATTTAAAAAGTGAAACTTGTATATTATATTCATACATTACATACAAACTCATATATTTCAGATGTTTATTTTGTTTAATTTTGATGATTACAAATGACAACAAATGAAAATCTCAAATTCATCATATCAGAAAATTAGAATATTGTGAAAAGGTTCAAAATTGATGGCCCCTGGTGCCACACTCTAATCAGCTAATTAACTCAAACCACCTGCAAAAGCCTTTAAATTGTCTTTCAGTCTAGTTCTATAGGCTACACAATCATGGGGAAGACTGCTGACTTGACAGTTGTCCAAAAGACGACCATCGACACCTTGCACAAGGAGGGCAAGACACAAAAGGTCATCGCTAAAGAGGCTGGCTGTTCACAGAGCTCAGTGTCCAAGCACATTAATAGAGAGGCGAAGGGAAGGAAAAGATGTGGTCGAAAAAAGTGTACAAGCAAGAGAGATAACCGCACCCTGGAGAGGATTGTGAAACAAAACCCCTTCAAAAATGTGGGGGAGATTCACAAAGAGTGGACTGCAGCTGGAGTGAGTGCTTCAAGAACCACCACACACAGACGTATGAAAGACATGGGTTTCTGCTGTCGCATTCCTTGTGTCAAGCCACTCTTGAACCACAGACAGCGTCAGAAGCGTCTTGCCTGGGCTAAAGAGAAACAGGACTGGACTGCTGGTGAGTGGTCCAAAGTCATGTTCTCTGATGAAAGTAAATTTTGCATTTCCTTTGGAAATTAAGGTCCCAGAGTCTGGAGGAAAAGAAGAGAGGCACTTCATCCACGTTGCTTGAAGTCCAGTGTAAAGTTTCCACAGTCAGTGATGGTTTGGGGTGCCATGTCATCTGCTGGTGTTGGTCCATTGTGTTTTCTGAGGTCCAGGGTCAACGCAGCCACATACCAGGAAGTTTTAGAGCACTTCATGCTTCCTGCAGCTGACCAACTTTTTTGAGATGCAGATTTCATTTTCCAACAGGACTTGGCACCTGCACACAGTGCCAAAGCTACCAGTACCTGGTTGAAGGACCATGGTATCCCTGTTCTTAATTGGCCAGCAAACTCTCCTGACCTTAACCCCATAGAAAATCTATGGGGTATTGTGAAGAAGAAGATGCAATACACCAGACCCAACAATTCAGAAGAGCTAAAAGCCACTATTAGAGCAACCTGGGCTATCATAACACCTGAGCAGTGCCACAGACTGATCGACTCCATGCCACGCCGCATTGCTGCAGTAATACAGGCCAAAGGAGGCCCAACTAAATACTGAGTGCTGTACATGCTCATACTTTTCATGTTCATACTTTTCAGTTGGCCAACATTTCTATAAATCCTTTGTTTTTATTGGTCTTCAGTAATATTCTAATTTTCTGATATGATGAATTTGAGATTTTCATTTGTTGTCATTTGTAATCATCAAAATTAAACAAAATAAACATCTGAAATATATGAGTTTGTATGTAATGTATGAATATAATATACAAGTTTCACTTTTTAAATGGAATTACTGAAATCAATCTATTTTTTCATGATATTCTAATTTTATGACCAGCACCTGTATATTTACATATAAATTTACATATATATATATATATATATATATATTTATGAATATATATTTATTCATTCATATATTTATTCATTCATATATTTATTTATTCATATGCTGTGTATTTATGTTATCCTACACTACTACACAATTATTAGGCTACCATCAAGGACATGAATGGATTTATACAGGAAATGAACATTTGCCAGGAAGCTGTTTATGCAAAGAAAGAGCTTTATTAAAACACACACAACTATATACAACGCGTATTCAAACACATGCGTATCTAAAAATTCCAAGTCCATGAACGGTCCGTTTGCTTCCTCGGGGTTGGAGGTAACTGGCAGCATTCCCTCCGAGGCAGGTCCGATGTGCAGACGCCTACTGTGCGTGGCCCTGTACTTCGGCATCGCTTCTAACCGGGACTGCAGCTTAACACAGAGTTCAGTGAGATCCGGCCTACGAAATGGCACCGACCGTACAATCCATCCAGAGACACCGCCGACGCCGCCATCTTCTTCGTCGGACAAGAGGTTGACGGTGGCGGACTTCCAGAGTTCCACTTCCTCATCTGCTAGCACACTCTGCCTTGCTTTCAGCAGCTGAAAAAAAAACAATGAATCAGCGCACTGCGTATTGACACAACACATCTATCAATGCACCTGAAAAATAGGCACCAAATAAAGTCTTACCCTCTTTCTTCTAGTCCGACTCCGAGCAGAATGCTTGGCAGCCTCCGCACGCAACGTGTTGGCTGGCTGCATGTATCTGAAGCTCCTGCGTACCGTCTCAAAATACGTCTTACAGGCAGCTGGAAAACAATTAAATGAGAGTGGTATGAATAAAAAAATCAAACGCAAGTCACAGTAACAAGGAAGGAGAAAACATTAAAACAAGTCACTTACACACAATGTCGTCTTTATCAACATCGTGCAAATCTGGACTTGCTGATATGGCTCCGAGCAAATAGGAGGTCTGTGAAAACAAAATGTACAGCTATGATCGGTATCTATCCGTATCCATTTCCCTTTACCGCAGAATGAAAGCATATTCTTTTACTCTTACCCTTGCTCCGGTTCATAGCGCCTGCAATTAGTCTCCGAGTTGTTAAGACGGTGTACTGCTTCCTGTGAATCACAAAAAATACACTTTAATAAAGCTTGTTCTTGCAAGGCTACTATTAGCCGTAGCTTTAGGCTAGGCTGCTATTAGCCGTAGCTTTAGGCTAGGCTGCTTTTAGCTTAGCAGGCAGTAATCGAACATATATTTACCGCTAGCATCTCTTCTTTGAGTTTGTCTTGTTCGACTGCAGAGTCGCCATCGCGCCCAAGAGGAGTTTTACCCCGAAATCCCACATACTCCGCTCCAGACCGCCTGCACAAAGCAAAGCATACTTCCTTCGCTGTGGCTCCAGACCGCTCCGCTCTGAGTTTCTTGGAGACCGTAGAGAGCATGCGCGAGATGAACCAGGGTTTCCGCGGATCATTAAAAATAATTACAATTCATTCATTTTTTTTTAATCAAGGCCTTAATTGGCACTAAAATTATTTAAATATGTTTATCGAAGTATTTATAATTCTTTAATAAAAAATGCTTATAAAAACAATTTCGTCAGATATATTATATCGCTATTAATTTGCGTGGAACTGATCATAAAGCCATTTGTTCGGAAAGGAAGCTCCAGGCAGAGAAAAAGTTAGAGGATATATATATACGTATATATGTGTGTGTGTGTGTGTGTGTGTGTGTTTACATACATACAGGAGTCATGGCACTGTGCTTACAGCTCCTTCATATTTCATGTACACTACTAACTTGTGTACATGGTTCTTGTTGATGGTATTAAAATAATTTCTAATAGCATTAAAATAGCATTAAATTAGTCACTCATTCCTGTATGAACCCTGTGAGCGCTTAATTTAATATGACATGTTAAAAAAATCCCACCATCATCCAGCATATGTTCAGTTTCTGCCCAAATTTATATATATATATATTTTTTTGTAGATTTTTGTAACGGGGATAAGGATAATTGAACTGCTTTTTTTGAATGAACTTGTTCTCTACTCCCAAACTTAGCATCTCTTTTCATTCCTGTAATAAGAAGTTTCTTTTGAATGGATTTGATTAAAGTTTAAGTCCTTTGGTATAAAATAAATATTTTGATGGAGATGAGAAATCTGCCTCCTCGTTGGTGAATAACCAATAGTTTGGATCCAATCATTTAAATAAACGGTGTTAGTTTTTTTTTTAATAGGCCTATATAAGAATTGTGCTATAATTTCTAGTCACCGATCTGTTGCTGCTATATTTTAATTTGACGAACCGGAATTTGTCAATGTTCTTTTTCCTGTTTGGTGCGATTGCAATTGCGGATCTTGGCCTTGCCGGACCTTATGACCACAGTGTACCAATCTTCTGATGGCTACTTCCAACAGCATAATGCGCCATGTTATAAAGTGAATCATCTCAGACTCATTTCTTGAAACTTTTCCACTTAAGTAATTGTGAATTGAGCATATTGACAGACAACATTTTATTTTTTCTCTTAAATGCAAATTTTACTGCTCTAAATGTATTGCTCTGTCAGCTAAAGATCTGTTTTGGTCTCTATACTTTAATTAAATAAATCAATTCAAGCTAAAATGTAAGAGGCTATACTGAGCCTGATCTCTTTGTATCAGAGATTTTCTTACCTTTTAGAAAAATGTCACTTGGGGTAAAACTCCCTATGCAACCCTGATTTGCATTTGTATAGCTCACAGCATTTTCATTTACATGTTAAAGCCTCCCCTAGAATTCCATGGGGGGGGAGGCATGGGGGGAACACTGCCTAAGAAAGTCCACATCAATTTCTGACAATTTACGGGAGTTTTCGGCGAAGCCTGCAAATTGCCGTAAACTGCCGCTAACCTGAAGTTCCACGACAATCTACAGTGCTGCATATTGACGAAAATCCCACTTTTCATGCAGTGTCTGGTATTTGTTTCCGCTCTTCATTCTGTCAAAGTTTTCAGCACAATGTTGTTGAGTAGAGCTGAAGGTGTGGAATCTTAAGGCTATCCTCTTCTCTCCTCCTCTCTTTTTTATCCATGTCAGCAAAACGAGCCCACAGCATGATGATGCAATCACCTTACTTGACACTTGGAATTCTTGATTCTTCTAACTGTACCTCCTGTCACTGAGTCCAGGGATCTCCTTTTGTTCTCCTCTAAAAAACATTGTTAAAAAGGCCCTGTCATTGTGGGAAGCTGCTTTTTCAGACAGTTTTTAGTCAAGTGTGAAGGCACGCACCCCCTCAGTCCATGCTAATGTACTGGTGCTCCAGTGAGTGAACCAAAAAGTACTTTGGAATAACCTGTGGCTATCCTTCTTTTGATATCTCCAGCTGAACGGTTCCAGTGAGTGCCAGCACTGCAGGACCGGCGAATAACTCAGGAGGAAGATCCATGACCTGACCGTGATCAGTGATAGACTGATTATGGAGAAACATCGGGTCAGTGTGCTGAACATTTTCACACAATCTCACACCATCTGACATTTGTTTGTACAATCATTGATTTTTCTGCAACCTCCAGATCAAGCTTGAGATTGCAGAACTGACCAAAGATGTTCAAAGATTGGACAGTAATATTAAGAGCTTTGAAGTCAAGCTGCATTACACCTATCACCTTCTGAACATCTACAACCAAAGACCGGGATTGGAGCTCTGCCTGGATCAGGTAGGAGCTACAGCCTTGGTTTTGTTTTGTCTTCACAGCTCACCCTTCCTCTGCTTATAAATAACACTCCCCTTCTCTTCAGCCTCACGCCTGTTTAATTCGGGAGAGACGGGAACTGACAAAAATGATTAATGGTGTTAAATCAGAGCTGAAGCGTTCCCAGTAAGTTCCCTCTTAATTAGCACTCTGTGGCCCATCACTGTACTTATTTAGCCCCTCCATTGCCACCCCGAACAGGCAGAACCTTGATAAAGCACACCAACGTCTGACCTTTGTGGAGGACAAACTGGCTAGAAATGCTCAACTCATTGAGGTAGCTCAGAGGTGCCGGAACATCCACCAGAGCTTCAGGCAGGCTGTCAACTCAGCTGTGGTTCTGAGTAACAAACCCAGCCTTCAGGCAGTCGAGGATAGCTCCTGCCCTTAGGCTGACCTGCACATCTTTTACAACTTCAGAGCTGCCAATAAAATGCATATCAGTTTCAAATTGTTTTCTTTTAGTGTCCATAATGTTTTGTTTCAGGAAGGTCTAATTTGAAAGCCTGCTTTTGCCACTCATGAAAAAAAAAAAAATTATATCTAATAATTAGGACTCAGCTATCTCATAATTATGTGAAATTATAATTATTAAATTATAAATATATATATACCTCATTGATTAATTAATTTAAAATGAAAATAATGAGACTGGCAGGAACGGGCTTTTATAATGTTTCGATTTCAAACCAGTGAGGGGTTCTTACATATCATTTTTTTCTCTTCCATTCATTTCTGCATTAGTCATGTGTAACCAATGTGAGCAATATTTTGTTATATTACCTGGGAAACAGCAGAGAAACTGCAGTAAATAAATGTATAATTAAGATTCGGCACAGTAATTGAATAAATGATGAAAGTTTTGAGCTATAAACCATCAAAAAGATGAACTACATAGAAAAAAAGCCAAAATAATATCTATTATTATTTTATGTATATTTTATTATATTATTATTTTCCACCATTTTGTTTTCAATTATTGTTTTTCCTGCAAAAAAACATTTTTTTTTTTAAAGGTTTAACCCGATATAAATATTAGCAGAGAGGCCTTTGCCAAGTGTCCTCTGTTTGTTCCTGGATAAACACGTCAGATCTATTGTAGCAACGGCCCATAGCAACGGGCAGTGTTGTGCCTGAACGCGTTCATTGAACGAAAGTTCATGAACTCGTTCATATTTTGGGAGAACGTGAACTGAACGTACTGCATTCTTGCCTGATGAACGTTATTGTGAACTCGTTCATTCTGGTGTCTGTGAACGGCACGCTCTCTCAGTTCAGCTCCGTTCAATAGGTTGCCAGATTTCTATAGAGTCCTCCAGGCGAAACCCCGGCTAAATCAAACCGTAAACAGGCCTTAATATGTAGCGGGAAAAACACCCAATCTGGCAACACCAGCTACCAGTGTCGTAGCCTACAGCCGCGTGCGTCATCTAAACAAAATGCCGCGTGGAAGCCACAGCAGCGTGGAGGCGACAAAGCAGCAGTATGATCACTTAAAACAGTTTTATGACCAGGTGGTCGGTGAGGATGATGGCAACAAGTTTGCCCGCCGGCTTTCAGTAAAAAAATCTGCACTTCAGTAACCTTAAATTCCTACCTCAGCCTGGTCCCTCAGTTTGTGTTAGTAAAATCTTCTTGAGCGGAGGTCTTCAACAGGGGATCCGCGACCCCTAGGGGGTCTACGGAGGTACTGCATGAGGGTCTACATGGTTAGTTGATATTTTTATATTCCGCCCCTGCAATTTTTCCCCCCACTAATTGAAATGTCTTTAAATACTCATTAACATGAAATCAACACACTGTAGTAAACAGATAAATGGAGACAAAAGATGTCTTTCAGTCATCAATGCACACATTCAGCGACACACAGGAGCTCTTTCAAGCTGGGCACCGTTTCCTTCACAACAACCAGGAATCAGAATCAGAAAAACTTTAATAATCCCAGGGAGAAATTAATGTCTTTACATTACTCCATCTGTAATAGAGTGACTATAGGACACAATTTCATACAATATATATAGTTAGGGGGTCCCCGCTCCATCTCGCCATCAGTTTGGGGGTCCTTGGTCTGGAAAACATAGAAGACCCCTGTTCTTGAGGGTTTTACTATCCATGTAACTTGTTTGTTAAACCTGCCTGGTATAATTTTCCAGGATTCCAGTATTCATTTTTAGTATGTATTGAAATGGAATTTCAAATGGAAAAAATTATTAAAATAAAAAAAAACATTTGCACCTTAAAGACTACTTTCCTATTTTTCTTTTAATAATTACTCATAAAAAAGACCATTCAAGCAGCACATTTTTCCTGATGTTTTTGAGAATATACTGTAGGGGTGAAAGCTGCAGCTGCTACTAGTGTGAAGTGAATGGACAGCAACAAAGCGTTAAAGCAACAATGGGGAAATCTGTCCCCTCAATGCTAATGTAAACCCTGGTTGGATAAGGATTCAAAACTGGATATGAAGATAAAATCTGACGCACAGTTTCAGAGTTACAACTGATAAAATAACTGCTGTCTGTGGTTCTACAGTAGGCTATGGTGTAATTGAGCAATATATGAAAAAAAAAAAAAGAACTATGAACTAGTTCATTTTTTGGTTTTGAATTATGAACTATGAACTGAACTAGTTCATTTTAAAATGTGTGAACTGAACTTTGAACTAGTTCACGTAGAAAGAGAACTTTCCCAACACTGGCAACGGGCCCCTGGAGACAGCGGCCGAGTGAAGGTATGAACTGTCTCGTGGTTGATGCATATCGATTCAGATTGGCTCTAAAAATTCATTTTCACTAAAATTATCACACAGTATCTTTGAAATAACTATTTTGGTAATGAAACATGTTGCAGTGTAGAGCAATCTATATTGAATGCATCTAATTGAAGACTATTGAGTCCCACTTGAATAAATGCCACCACCCCTTAGTACTGCACTTATATAACTTTATTTAGAAGGTCAAGGATCACTTAAATGTTACGTTAACTTGGCTACCAGATTGCAGTGCAAAAACCTTTTTTTTTTGTCTGTAAAGTAACAGCCTTGTTTTATTTACTTTTTCTGCTGTCAAAAAATTTAGAAATTGCCAGAGTTTAAAACTAGATGAAAAGTTAACCGAATATTTCTTATTCTCTTAATAAGATTTATCATCTCCTCTCAAATCTGTTATTGCAAAAAAGAAAATTAGGGTTGTCAAATTACAATTTACACTGCTCAACAAAAAGGAAACATCTAATCAACATCTAATCAACAGAATAATATTTCAATTAAATCCACTTTCCGTCCATTTGAGACGCAACACTGACTGATCAGTTTCACATGCTGTTGTGCAAATGGAATAGGCAACAGGTGGAAATTATTGGCAATTAGAAAGACCCACATATAAAAAAGGTTCTGTAGGTGGGGACCACAGACCACTTCTCAGTACCCATGTTTTCTGGCTGATGATTTGGTCACATTTTAATGTTGGTTTTGATTTAACACTGGTGATAGCACGAAACGAACTCTACAACCAACACAAGTGGCTCAGGTAGTGCAGTTCATCCAGGAAGCAACATCAATGCAAGCTGTGGCAAGGTTTGCTCTGTCTATCAGTGTAGTGTCTAGAGGCTGGAGGCGCTAGAAGGAGACAGGCCAGTACACCAAGAGACATGGTGGAAGCTGTAGGAGGGCAACAATCTAGCAACAGGACCGCTACCTCTCCCTTTGTGTAAGGAGGAACAGGAGGAGCACTGCCAGAATTCTGCAAAATGACTTCCAGAAGTACACACGAGTGCATTGTCTGCACAAATGGTGAGAACCCGACTCCATGAGGATGGTACGAGGGCCCGATGTCCAAAGATGGGGGTTGTGCTCACAGCCCAATACCATGCAAGATGCTTGGCATTTGAAAGGGAAGGCTGGCAAATGAAGCTCTAGCGGAAGTTCAATTGAAGAAACTCTGACTTACCTCCATCAATCAGAAGCTGATCCGTCTCCGTAGCGAGCCAATGAGCTTCGAACTACTCCACCATGAAGCCCAATCAGCGTCCTGCTTCCACTTTATAAAATCCTTTCAAATCTCACCCCAGCCGCTATCCTGCAATCGCAATGTCGGATTTCGATTCAGACGACAATTCAATTTTCCCTGCTCGGAGAAGCTCCTGTCTAGCCACTCACATCTCCTTCTTCCACGTGTATATTGCCAGGCTCCGACCTAGACTCTGCTCAACTGTCGCAACTAGCCTCCCTCCTACCTCCTCGTGATTCATCTCCATCCCCCTCGCCTTCCGCTCTGCAATCTGCTCCGATCCCTGGACGCAAAAGACATGCAAGTCCTCCGCTCCCCTCGCCAGGCGCAGGGGGCCTCCCAGATCTGTCCCAGCAGCAGTCACCGCTACGCCCGCTCCTTCTCATCGTTTCTATGCAGCCTTGGACCTTCTTCAGCTTCCTAATTCATAGCAGCTCCCCCGTCTAGTGCTTCTGGCGTTTAACAGCTCTCAGCCTCCCTCCGCTCCACCGGACTCTCTCACTCAATCCGTTTGATGCTGTCCGCACGCTCCAACTTGGAAATCCCTGCACTGCCACGTCATCCCTGCCGCTGTCTGCTCAGACGGACCTCCCTCTCCCCTCATTCACATTAGGGAACGCCCGCCGGGCCAGCCTTAGGTAAGACATATTCAACCATGTTTTCATTCATAATTTTCTATCTATTTGAGTTCGCTCTTTATGCTTCGTCTGCCTCTATTCAGGCATACCTTATATTAACATGCATGCTAATATTTCCACTAGCCTCGTTCTAAATTATTCAGGGGAAATAATTTAATTTAGTCTCTCTTATTCTTCCCTCCCCTGAAGTCGATCAGCAGGTCGCATCAGCAGGTGAAGTCACAGTTTTCTTAAATCATCCGATCTCCGTCTCCAGAGATCTTTCTATTGGCCAATTTTGGCCGCATTCAGCATCTATCGCGATTACTCAGAGCTTCTGCAGGAGGCTCATCCAAATCAGTCTGTCCCCGCCGTGCACGCTTCATATATATCGTACCTCAGTCTTAGCAGCCCGTCATCTTACCACCCCTTATTATTACTTCTGATTATCGTTCTGTCTTCTTCATCATCTAGCGTAAAAAAAAAAAAAGATTACTGACGTTTTCCATCAGTCATTTCTAAACGCCAATTGCGCTCCTTGCTAGGTCATCTAATTTGCTATGTGCTTATTTCTCAAGGCCGCTCTTTCATTTCCCAGTTGCTTGATCCAGCAATTTCCGTCCCTCCTCCTTGGTCAGATTACTCTGAACGTAGGCTGCCGTTCGGATCTCCTGGTCCAGACTGCTTCTAAATTGGAACGGAAATCTTTTCTTTTCTACGTCGACATTATCTATCTCTTGACATGCTCCAAAATTTTACGGATGCTG